TCATGCCGCAATGCATGCTGGGTGCCAGCATAGTACAAAGCTCCCAGCATGCATTGCAGCATGAATAAATTATGCAGCTTTATGTTCTTACAATCTCTTTCTTATCCTTTATTTTGTGTTGTTTTTGGGAGGTGATATTTCAGTAGAGTGTTTTTTTTACTTGATTTTAATTTTTTTGTTTGTCACCATCATTGAGATTCAAAGATTAAATATTGATGTCTGTGTGTTTTTAAATTCTGTCATAGATCAAACATTCTCATTGTGAATATTGGTTTTATTTTATTTTATTGGAGCTTAAGTGGTTTCATTTATGTATATTATTTATTTCTCACACATAACTAATATGATATTGAATTAGAAAACAAGCAGGAAAGGATGGCTATGATACCATAAATAATCTCTTCAGACTGACACTTTAGTTTTCTTTCGGCTTTCCATGCTTTATATTTAAATAGTGTGATTAACACCAACTACAGCAGCCAAAATAAAACACATTTATAGTAAGAAGTTGAAGAGCCTGACTAAAGCAGACTCTGTCCTCCATCATGGTGACTTTAAATGAACAACAGAAATTTCATGAAGAGCTTTTGTTCACATGACAGAAATAAAGTCAAAGGTCAGTAATAGGTGAAGCTCCATGATAAGTTGTTTAATGTGATGAGTTTTTTTTTTTTTTTAAAGATGTTGAAAAATAAGATTTTTTATTGTGTAATTTGTTTTATTTTTATTGATTATTATTTTATTTGGGTTTTTTTTTTCTCAGTTGATTTCATCTTTGGTTTTGGCTTGTGTTTTTCTGTCCTTCAGTGATTCTGCTTGTTAACAGTTGTTCATCAACAATTCTCAATCCTCCTTTAATTAGACACTTAATTGTCTCATTAACTTCATCACTGTCTAAGTGTTCAGCCCTCTGTAGTGAGGACACTAGTGAGGATTTTGCTCTGGAATTTAAGGCTTAAGTGTGTTGGAATGAAAAATACAGACAATGGGATTTGTTTTTAACAGAAATATTCTGGAAACTGAATTTACGAATGTAAAATGTTGAAAACAGCAGATTACTGGCAACCACTGCTGCCGGTATTTTGACATACATTTAACAGATATTTTACACAATAAGAGTTTGCTAATTAACACTCTGGGTGTTAAAAATTTTAACACTTTCAAAAATGTTATTTTAACACTTATAGTGGTTCCCATATAAACACAGAGGGAGTGTTAATTTTAACTCTAAGGTAGTTAAATCTATTAAATCTAAAATTTGCAGTGTGAGATCGATAAAAAATACAGACTGTTGAATGTGCTTTTAACAGAAATATTCTGTAAACTGAATTTATGAATGTTAAAAACAGCAGATTACTGGCAACCACAACTGCTGGTGTTTTTCCGTAAAATCTAAAAATGAAAAAAAAAATGAAAAACAGCAAAACGGTTTTTGTGTCACCATTGTGGAGGATAATAGCGTCTCTGTTTAAGTCCAAGATGAACTGAGAGTATTTGTTGTTATGCTGCATCTTCTTTTGTTTCAAGGTAACTGTGTAGTAACTAATGCAGTCAAAATATGTTTGCTAATTGCAATCACACATGAAAACATTATTGCATCTAAAGACTTCACATTTTTGTGCACTAAGCTATGATTTTGTAAAATAAACAATGTGTTAGTTCATGAAATATGGTTAATTTTTGTAAACTTATACAGTTATATAAAACTTCCATGTTTTTCACATAAACATTCTGGCAACCACAGCTGCTGGTATTTTTTTGGAAATTTAACAGATATTTTACACAATAAGAGTTTGCTAATTAACACTCTCTTGGTGTTGACAATGTTAACACTTTCAAAAGTGTTATTTTTAACAATTATAGTGGTTCCCATATAAACTCTGAGGGAGTGTTAATTTTAACTCCAAGGTAGTTAAATCTACTATCTAAAATTTGCAGTGCAGCTCTGCTCAAATGGCTCTGCAGCGAGCACCCTCTCCTTATTTTGCCTCTGCCTGCTTGTCAGCCCCCGGCTGTATCTGATGTGTGTTTACTGCACCAACAGAGCTAACTTAGTGCCAAAACTTTTACAAGCTTTAAACCTCATAAATAGGCCAACAAAGTTTACTAAAACATCTAAACTAGTTTATTATATAATAATGAGGCTGTTTTTTAGGAAAATCATAAAACGTGATTGAGCAATTCCAGCTATGGATGTGACATTTGCAGTAAAAACACAAAACATAAATTCACATAGAGAGCATATGTTAACATTATATTGAAACTTTTCTTTATATTTCCCAGAGCAACTCGCCACAGTTTTATATGACCAGAAAAATATCAATCTGTAAACATGTTTTGCACTTTAAATGAGGGAAATAAACATGTGCTATGGATGTGACAAAAAATCTGTGAGTTTACAGTATACAGCATCATTTGTAGAAATTATGTGAATTAAACTGCACAACCCAAAAAAGAAACAATGATAATCAAAAGACTAAGAGTTGGCTCTCTGTAAAACAAAAATTATTGTTTTTTTTAATTTTTTTATTTTCACATTTTTAAGGGAAAAGTGTCGTTATGGATGTTTGCCACTTGTGATTTTGGTAAATCAAATATAATAGTTTGAAAACATTGACAGATGTATTTTTGTGTATTTATAAGGTGCTGTAAAATACTTGCTTACAGAAACTTATTTTCTTTTTTTTCTTTTTTTTGGTGAAAACTAATTTTTTTTTCATGGCAAGGTTGACATTTGCACGGAATTGCTCTATTACATTTGTCATTAACATGTTACACACACAGCAAATTTTAGATAGTAGATTTAACTACCTTAGAGTTCACATTAACACTCCCTCAGAGTTTATATAGGAACCACTATAAGTGTTAAAAATAACACTTTTGAAAGTGTTAACATTGTCAACACCAAGAGAGTGTTAATTAGCAAACTCTTATTGTGTAAAATATCTGTTAAATTTCTGAAAAAAATACAGCAGCTGTGGTTGCCAGAATCTTTCTATGAAAAACATGGAAGTTTTATAGAACTGTATAAATTTACAAAAAATAACCATATTTCATGAACTAATACAATGTTCAGTTTACAAAATCATAGCTTAGTGCAAAATAATGTAAAGTCTTTAGATACAATAATGTTTTCATGTGTGATGGCAATTAGCAAACAGATTTTAACTGCATTAGTAACTACACAGTTACCTTTAAACAAAAGAAGATACAGCATAGCATCAAATACTCTCAGTTCATCTTGGACTTGAACAGAGACGCTATTATCCTCCACAATGGTGACACAAAAACCGTTTAGCTGTTTTTCATTTTTTTTTTTTCATTTTTAGATTTTACAGAAAAATACCAGCAGCTGTGGTTGCCAGTAATCTGCTGTTTTTAACATTCATAAATTCAGTTTACAGAATATTTCTGTAAAAAACACATTCAGCAGTCTGTATTTTTTTATCGATCTCACACTGCAAATTTTAGATTTAATAGATTTAACTACCTTAGAGTTAAAATTAACACTCCCTCAGAGTTTATATGGGAACCACTATAAGTGTTAAAATAACACTTTTGAAAGTGTTAAAATGTTTAACACCCAGAGTGTTAATTAGCAAACTCTTATTGTGTAAAATATCTGTTAAATGTATGTCAAAATACTGGCAGCAGTGGTTGCCAGTAATCTGCTGTTTTCAACATTTTACATTCGTAAATTCAGTTTCCAGAATATTTCTGTTAAAAACAAATCCCAAAGTCTGTATTTTTCATTCGAACACACTTAAGCCTTAAATTCCAGAGCAAAATCCTAACTAGTGTCCTCACTACAGAGGGCTGAACACTTAGACAGTGATGAAGTTAATGAGACAATTAAGTGTCTAATTAAAGGAGGATTGAGAATTGTTGATGAACAACTGTTAACAAGCAGAATCACTGAAGGACAGAAAAACACAAGCCAAAACGAAAGATGAAATCAACTGAGAAAAAAAAAATCTACATAAAATAATAATCAATAAAAATAAAACAAATTACACAATAAAAAATATTATTTTTCAACATTTTTAAAAAAAAACATATCACATTAAACAACTTATCATGGAGCTTCACCTATTACTGACCAGTGACTTTATTTCTGTCACGTGAACAAAAGCTCTTCATGAAATTTCTGTTGTTCATTTGAAGTCACCATGATGGAGGACAGAGTCTACTTTAGTCAGGCTCTTCAACTTCTTGCTGTAAATGTCTTTTATTTTTGCTGCTACACTCTAAAAAAAAATTCCGTAAAAAAACGGTAAAATGTACTGGCAGCTCATTACACAAATATTTTACCGTAAATTAAAAACGGAAAACTTCTGTTAATTGACAGTGTGTCCACATTAAAAAAACTAAAAAATATCCGTTTTTTGACGGTTAAACTACTGTAAAATAACGAACCATTTTATAGTAATTTAAGTGTTTTCTATATAAAAAAACGGTTATTTTCTGTGTTTTTAAGGGTATACCAACAGTAAAAAAGCGGAACTATTTTGTGTTTTAATAGTATACCTACTGTAAAAAAACAGACAGATTCTGTGTTTTAATAGTATACCTACTGTAAAAAAACAGACAGATTCTGTGTTTTAATAGTATACCTACTGTAAAAAAACAGACAGATTCTGTGTTTTAATTGTATACTTACTGTAAAAAAACAGACAGATTCTGTGTTTTAATTGTATACCTACTGTAAAAAGAGGACTTTTTTGTTTTTTAATAGTATATATACAGTGAAAAAATGAACAGATTCTTTGTTTTAATGTGATACCTACTGTAAAAAAATATTATTTTACTAATTTAATGCTCTTCAAGCAGCATAGAAATAGCAGTTGGTAAGGATAAACCTATACATATGGGAAATACACTACTAATGGTTTACCATAGTAAAACAAAACATGTATTCCATACTGTATGTGTAGAGAAGCAGTAAATAGTTTGTTAACTGTGAACTTACAATGATTAGTACAAAAACAACTTTGCAATTAAAACAGATTCTTTAATGAATACAAATCATTTGAATTCCAAATAGCTAGTTATACACACAATAATACATATTGACATGTGAATCACACAGTGAGAAGTCTTGGCAAATAATCTCAAAGCAAATTAGTTTTAAATGTTAGCTTTAAGATAATTGAGGACAAGTGGGCAAATTACAAGTACTTTACATTAAGAAACCAGGTTAACTGCAAGATGGCAGGAAACAGACGATACAACTGGGTCTTCTTCCGCTCCAATACTGATACTTCAATGACTGTAAAAAAAAAAAAAAAAAAAAAAACATTACTAATGACATTTCACTTACAACTGGGGTAATTCCTTGCATGTCAATAGTTTACACAAATGAAAGTTTTATCATCATCTTCATGTCTCACTCTTGTCATTTCAAGCCTGTCTGACTGACATACTTCAACAGAACAAAATAGGAGAAATAGGAGCAACATTCTTTAAAATATGATATTTTGTGTTTTGCAGAGGAAACAAAGTCATACAGGTTTAAAATGTCAAGAGAGTAGGTAAATTATGAATGATCAATTATTCAGTTTTGGGTGAGAAATCACTTTAAGATTTTTCAAAATAAAGTGTAGGTACTTTTGACAATATTCGGAACAATAATGCAAGAGAGAAACAGTAATATAAACAAACTATGCTGGTAACACTATAATAACTACGGGCTATGATTCATTTATGAAGCATTAGCAAATAGTGAATTCATTATCTGTTAAGCATTAACTTTACATTAATAGATGTTAGCAGTTGGTTATAAATACAGCTGCAAAATTTGCTACAGCTACAGTTTAATAATTGTATTATCAAACTTAAATGATTGATTTTACATTACTATTTATAGATTTTAAAAAAAATAATAAAAAAAAAATATATATATATATATAAAATATTATATTTAATATTGCATTATTTACAAAATTTCTTCCAGTTGTGGCCTAATCTAAAGTGAGGATTATTTATGATTTATAAATCCTTATAAACGACAGTTAAACCTTGCTGAATAGCAGGAGTGCCAAAATATAACATAAAACTGGATAAAACAACAGTAAAATAATTTAATGATATATTACGATGCAACATTTCAGTGTTATTTAGCTATGTTTAAACTGTACAGTAATTTTATTTTAGATAAGATTTATTTTCATTTAATACAATAAAATGAATTTCATTTTTAGAATATAACTGAATCTTTAATTGTGATTTATAAGGCGATTTACAAAGCATAAACAATCCTCACTTTAGGCTACAAAACTGGATGAAGTTAACAAAAGCACTTATTAAAATAAGTATTGTATATACTTTATATACTTATTTTTTATACTTTATATACAAGTATAACAATTACTATTTATTCATGTATTTTCCTTCAGCTTAGTGTGTGCTCACACTATGTATAGTTGCCTTGAACCAGGCCGAAGCACTCTTGTCCTCCCTCCCGTCTCCCCTGACGTCCCGCACTCACATTGCATTCGAGCCTGAGCACTCTTACATCATCGATGATGCGCTGTTTAGTTTAGGAAGTGCTCTCAGCACGGAGGAGAATTCTTTAGTTATATTGTTTTAGTCGTTTGGGATGCAGTAACACGCTGTCAAGAATTTCGCCGAACAGATCAGCCACTTTTGATGTTAATAAACAATCATAAACTCCTTGTGCTGCAGGAATAGGAGGTTTGCTAAAGGCGCAGCTGTGGTGCAGTAAGGGGTTTGCGTTCATTGAACAGTAATAGTGGTTAATTTATCCAAATCAAAGTCCCTTGCAAACTGTCATAGATTAAAGACACAAACCCCTCACTGCACAACAGCTGCACCTTTAGCAAACCTCCTAGTACCTGCAGCACGTTGACTTTGATTGTTTATGAGCGTCAAAAGTGGCTGATCTGTTCGGTGAAATATTTGACTGCGTGTCACTGCATATTGAACAACTAAAACGATATAACAATATAAAGAAATCTCCACTGTGCTGAGTGAGAGCACTTGTTAAACTGAACAGTGCGTTATTGATGATGTAAGCATGCTCAGGCTCGAATGCAATGTGAGTGCGGGTCGTCGGGGGAGACAAGCACGCTTCCAGTTTCAAGGCAACTGTGCATAGCATGAGTACGCCCTTGGAAACACCCATACACACATTTACAAACACACTCATACATAACAGCCAATTAAGTTAATCAATTTCCCTATAGCTTATGTCTTTGGACTGTGGGGGAAACCGGAGCACCCGGAGGTCTTCTTGCTGTGAGGCAACAGTGCTAGCCACTGAGCCACTGTGCTGCCCAACTATTACTATATGCCTGAATAATAAGATATATAAATGTTATTTTAAATAGTTTATTAACCATTTACTTACACATTCTGAATGATTAGAAAAAAAATACACCAACTATTCTTAAAATTACTGGTTTGTAAATAATGCTATACTAAATATAGTAATGAAAAATTAATCATTAACAAAATATAAAAACAAAATCATTAAGCACATTATAGATGTGCTTATAAGTCAAGATTACAGCATTTGCAGCTGTAGTTATAAACTGTATACTAAGGTCTGTTAATGTAGAGTTAAAGCTTAACAGAACTTTTTGCTAATGCTTAATAAATTAATCAATAGTGTTTAGTTATTATAAAGTATTACCGGTTTGCTTAATTACCTTTAAATCTTCCAAGGATTCTGAAAGTCTTTCTGGTCTGACAGGAATCGAAGGAGTTTAGATGGTATGTTTCTGCTTGGTGCACTTTTTTTCTGCTATGGACCTACATTCTGGATAGTTACTCAGCATGCTCCTGTTGTAAATACAACAAACATGTATCAACTTACTTGTCTTATAAAAATGAAATAAACTTAAAAATGTAAAAACATACCTTCATATAAACTCCAGAGTCAGGGCTGCTTCCTTAGGCTACATAATGTTTAGCACATAAGAGACTAAACATGTAGCTCACCACAATTAGGGGACAGCTCAATGATCTTGTTATTGTGACTGTGGACTCTTCTTCTGAAAAAAGAAAAGTGAGTTGTGTGTTGGGTCTGGTACACGTCCACATGGAAAGAACCTATATAAACATATGGTTTAATATAGGTTTTGATTTAGGTTTTTGAAATATGTGACAAATATAAAATTGGCTGTTTTCCTATATTACATGTACATATATGGGTACATATATGCACACCTATATGTTAAATTATTAATATTATTAATAATATTATAAATATTATAATTATTATGTAAAATTATTCAAATACATGTCTGCTACATAATTTAAAAGAAATTAAAAAATATATATTTACTTAATCAAATATTACAAGAAATAATTATAGTGCAAGAACAAAAATAAGGCAAAAAAAAAACAATAAAGGAAAGAAAAAAAATGTAAAAAAATTATAAACCATTTTGTTTTACATTTCTTTCTTTTCCACTATCTTTATACAAGAAAGAATTGACCTTGAAAATGTTTCAGGAAAACGTGTAGACATCATAGCTTTCCATCTCCTCTCACTTATTTGCCATAGTTAAATTCCATAACATGCCAATAACATGTGATACAAAATTCAAGTGGCACATACATAAGTTTTTCGCATTTTTTAAGTTAGTTCTTACCCAGAGAGCAAACCTACGTTAAATTAACATTGAATAAATGTTAAAACATCAATCAAACTATCATTGAAACAACGTTAAAAAGTCACCACTGATTTTTAGGCAGTTTTCCACCCTGAAATAATAGTAATTCTATGATAATAAATAGACAAAACTGTCCCAAAATCAGCATTTATTCAACCAAAATTAAATCTTATTTTTTTACAATGAACCCAACATTAAATAAAATGTTAAATCAACCACACTATCATACAATTAATGTTGAAATTTAAAGTAGATTTTTAGCCAGTTTTGCATCCTGAAATAAAGTTATTACAATGACGCTAAATAGATTAAACGGTCACAAAATCAGCATGAAGGCCTGGCTCACCATCAAGATGCCCACATTGAAATTGTCTCTCTCATCATCAGGTGGCTAAGAGAGAAAAGAAAAGAGATTCAGCAGTGGACCAGTTATTTCCTTATCACTTTAAACAGACATTACCAAAATAAAGAACTTGTAACATTTCAAATGATGCAAAAATAAATAATGATAATAAATAACTGCTTGGTTTATTTAACAGATTACAGTAGCAGCTTAAAAAACCCAGATAAAACACCCACATCAACCCAGTACTTTTTAGTTTGAATACATGTTAACAAAATTCAAAACTTACTGAAGCAAAATGTGTTCATGTAAACACTTAGTAAAAATATAGGTACAAGTAATTGGTTTGCCAAATAATAAAAATAAAAGCATCAATATCAAACAAAAACCCTGACCATTTTACCTCTTAAACTTGGAAGTTTACTATCATCCCCTGTATTAGGTACAGATGGTCCAGCACAACTGCCTGAGTTCTGAAAGAGCAAAGACATTCTTGGTAAAATGACAATAGATGCAATGCTAAATATAAATCATTTTTTATTTTAATTTTTTGTATTATTTATAAAAATGCAGTACTGACCAGTCAGCATCAATTTTTACACCAACACACCTACAACAAAAATAACACTCATTCAGTTTGAAACATGCTGCACATAGTCTACTTTTATACTTTACAAACTTTGTGGATAATAAAAAAAAATGAAAACATTTAAAATCCCAGGTGTATTTTATTTCATTTGTCCATATTAATTCAAATTCAGTTTGGATTGAATGTAAGATTTAAGATTTTAATTTAGATTGCTGTGAAAATGTACCTGTACCTTGTACTTATAACTAAAATGACAACATAAACATAAAGCAAATCTTATATCATATATCAGTGAACCTTATATCTACAAAACACTCAAAATCAAACAGAAAAACCCTGAACATTTTACCTCTTAAACTTGAAAGTTTACAGTCATCTCCTGTATAAGGTACAGAGGGTCCAGCACAACTGCCTGAGTTCTGAAAGAGCAAACACATTCTTGGTAAAATGACAATAGATGCAATGCTAAATATAAATCATTATTGTTATGGTTAAAAATGCAGTACTAACCAGTCAGCATCAATTTTTACACCAACACACCTACAACAAAAATAACACTCATTCAGTTTGAGACCGTCTACATTTAGACTTCACAAACGTTGTGAATAATAAAAAAATGAAAACATTTAAAATCCCAGGTGTATTTTATTTCATTTGTCCGCATTAATTCAAATTCAGTTTGGATTGAATCTAAGAATTTACCTGTAACATGTACTTATAACCAAAATGAAAGAACCTGAAAGTCAACAAAGCAAAATATCAGTGAACCTTATTTGTGCAAATAAAACTCACTTAAAATCTACATAAAAAGATTTCATTTGCGATAACACCATGTGTAGTTCACTCTATTATCAAGGTTTCATTAAAATAAAACTCCTGATCTCCTAATAGTAAAGAAAGTATTGTTTGCTATAATGAATCGAACTGACAATTAGTTTGAAGAATTTTAAGACTGTGGAAGAACAACTCATCTTTATATCTTCATATTAGCTGCCCTTGAGGTTCTTAAAAGTGAATAAATAAATATCAATGACAGTTCAACTCGACTACAACAAACATTTAATTGTGTGCTTTAAGGTACACGTTGTATTTGAGGCCGAAAACGCATGACAGTGTAAACACTATAAATACTTTTAAATGTCACACACGTACTGTATCACTCTGTTATCTCTGTACACACAAACACGCGTCGCGAAATGCGGAAGTTTTTTTTTCGTTCCATTTGGCGAGCGTTATTAAATTCCATAACACTCTCATCAGTTATTGCTTCTTATTTGCGTCTATTACCCCAGTTTGTCACGCGGGATGAATGAAATGTTCATGAGTTAAAGTGAAACTGCCGAACTGCAGTTAAAGTCAGGCATCCTGCTGATTTGATTCATAAGGGCACTTGTTTGTCAGACGGCTCACCGGTCAGGTATACATCCGCGCTAAAATATCAAAGTATGAAAGTCACCCAGCTCCCAACCCAACGTTGAGAATAGATTAACGGCGATATATATATTTTTTTTATCGCGCGATAAGTCTCGCGTTAACGCAGCACGTTAATGCTGATAACGGCCCACCACTAATAAAAACTTTACGAGTGTGTATTTCCCCTCATACCGAGTTACAAATGCCTCCAATTCACGCGAGTCTAACTTATAACTTACTTAAAAACCAGCAAAGCTGTTCCACTGAAACTCGGTCACACAGCCTTAATACGTCGGTCAAACTAAAGCTAACATTTGATAACGTCAGTAAAAAAATGAAATTAGTCATTAATATGCAAACAAACACAGACGGTCAGGTGTTACGAGCGTTTGAAACACGTTAACGTTAGTGTTCATTAAAGGTAACGTATATCAACCAAACTACACAGTGACACAAACTTTGAATGCTATCCCTTGTTCAATGCACTGTACAAAGAAAACATTTATATTTCTATAAAATAATTAACATACCTTTTACACTCTTACAGACAAACTGACGTTTACCGTTAATCCAGTCAGGTGCAGAGGGAGTGAGTGGGTGATTGGGACGTCACGTCATTTCCCGCGCACGGCAGTTTAGAAAAATACGGACAAACAACTGTAAATGAACAGATATCATATTTACTGATGAGAAAAACGCATAAAAAGGTAAAAAATCATTAGGTAAATGCTTGTTTAAATTACATTTAACCACTCATAGCTCAGTTTGATCTTAATGAAATAAAGTCTGATCTTATTAACAATATTAAACGTAATTCACTGCTGTACTTTCCATGGGCGCTTCATAAAAGACAAAAATCATTTTAAATAACGATAAAAAGGTAATAAAGCAGTCTTTTAACTAAAATATTGTTATATGTTTTATTAATCGTACTTACCAGGGAAAAAACTGAGGAAGAAATTTGTCCCGGTGTCCATCAAACGCTGTCTGAGCTGCGATCCCCTTCCCACAATGCAATTCGAAAATGTATATAAACGGAAAAACACCCGTAATACGTGTATACGGAAAAAATCTGTTAAAATATACAGTCATTTAACTGTTATTTTACAGATTTTTTTTACAGTGTATAGTTAGTGTTAATTACACTATTTATACATATAGCATGGAGAGCCGAAAGAAAATTAAAGTGTCTGTTTGAAGAGATTATTTATGATATCTTAGCCATCCTTTCCTGCTTGTTTTTTAATTCAGTATCATATTAGTTATGTGTGAGAAATAAATAATATACATAAATGAAACCACTGAAGCTCCAATAAAATAAAAACAATATTTACAATGAGAATGTTTGATCTATGGCAGAATTTAAAAACACCCAGACATCAACAATTAGTCTTTGAATCTCAATAATGGTGACAAACAAAAAAATTAAAATCAATAAAAAAAAACACTACTGAACTATCACCTCCCAAAAACAACACAAAATAAAGGAAAAGAAAGAGATTGTAAGAACATAAAGCTGCATAATTTATTCATGCTGCAATGCATGCTGGGAGCTTTGTACTATGCTGGCACCCAGCATGCATTGCGGCATGAACTATGCAGCTTTTTTTTTTATCAACCACGGTTGAGGTTCATATCCTGATTCTTGATGACTGTGTGTCATAAAAAGTAAGCTGGAGCTTGAATGTTTAGTGCATGACACTCTAATTATTAATTGCTTCCAAATTGTTTGTTGAATCTTCTATGAAGAGCAGCAGAATGCCAGTAGTATTGTCCCTTGCAATTTTAATACAACTATATTTGCATATTTTTATTAATTAGTTTATTAAACACCTGAAATTATATCTAGAACAATTAAGCACAAACAGTATAGTTTATCTTGACCTTTCTTGCTATAACTGATGAGTTTTAGAAACACAGCTATAACAGTCAGAGAAACATTAGTATATCAGAATAAAGCTTCAAGAGCTCAAATGAGCAGCCTCTGATCTCTATGATGGTGAGGTCAAATGAAATATTTTTAATAAAAAAAATAAACCTCTGTTCATTGTCAAATATTCTTACAGAAATGAAGTCAAACTGTAATCAGTGAAGCTGCTTATACTATTATTTAATGGAGTTGTTTAATCCTCTGTTTTAATTCAGTTGGTTTGGTGTGAGGCTGTGTCTGTAGTTTTATTTCTTCCTTCAATTTCTTTTTCCTTCAGTGATTGTGCTTGTTAACAGCAGGTGTTCAACAGCAGGTGTCTGAATTCACTTATTTGTGGTCATTCGCTCTGTCTAGTGGACTAAACTAATTGACCAATTTATGGGCCGGGTGAATGAGGATGTGGCGAGATTTCAGACACTCTGATTAGTTTCTCTAATACAAGGGTTTTCTACAAAGGTAGATACATGTTACTCTGTGTGACAAGGAGGCAAATCAGCTTCTAACGCCGAGAGGGTTATTTTACCTTTATCTAACTCTAGAATTTTAACACTTTACTCTGAATTACCACAACACTTGAAATTTAACACCAATGAATTTGCTGTGCATACAGCTCCATTCCCCTGCTGTATACCTTCCGTGAATATCTTATCTGTCTTTAAACACTCATGTAACTTTACAATTAATAATGTTAGCGTGTAATATTTATGTGATGATAGTATGGGCGCTGCTGCACACTAGCTGATGTTAGCTAAATGTTGGATGGTTATAGCGCTGAAAGGAGAAGAAAAACTACAGTAGGCCTATTTACACATGAACAACTGACCTGTACATGAAGCCCTGGACAGATAACCTTAGATAATTCAGCACCATTTCGCTTCTTTTCTTCCTCAAACACTTTATTTTTGTGCACCATTTGTCCACCTGTGGCTTTCTCTCCATTCTCCCGTGGTTAACCGTTGTTGGAAGCAAGGGCGCAACTGCACATTTACTGAGGGGTATGCGAGTTCAAGTTTTGCGCCCCACCATATTCATTTCCTCATCGACATGTCGAAGTTCTGAACGCAACTGAAATAGTATAAAGTAGTAAAAGTATAATTACATTAAACATGTTAAGTCACAAAGAATTACATCTCATCCCAACCCAAATTTCTTCTTAATTCCATTTTCCTCACCAAATGATTATAGCACCTTGACATGTCTTGTTTTTGTTTCTTTTTG